TATGTGAAATTGAATGGAAACGTCAGCTCTACTTATATCATTGTTAGAAAATTCTACTACCAGTCCTTCTTCACCTTAAACAAAATAGGTTGAATACATCTCATATTATTTTCCATTCTCTGAACAGGGCTGGGAAATTCTACAATTTCAGTGTCATCTATACCGCTAAATCTTCATCACTTTTGCACACTTTTTTTCAAATGGAAGTGGTCTCAACAGTCTCATTTAACACCAACACCACTAAAGAGCATGACTCATCCGCACTCTGGGTTCGCGTAGACCAATCAAATCTCGCCACATTATCGAACCTACCTCTGGACCAATCAGATCGGCATCTTTTTAACCAATCAGAAACTGCTAATCAGATCTGGCAAATGTCCAAGTAGGAAGTAATCAGGGCGCCTCGAAGCCTTGACAGCATCAATCTTCTGGATGGTAATTGTGCGTGCTTTCGCCAAGTCCCTGTTTAACAATATCATACTCTGCTCCTGCCCTCTTTGGCATCTGCTTGATTACAGGTCGGTCGGGCCTCCGCGAAAGGAGGATCACGCTCAGCAAACGCCTGCGTCCCCGGCAAAGTCGGCCAGCGAACGTTTTGTTGCGTCCGCGTCTACAGGACCTCACTTGGTCAGCAAAAGCGATGCCACTTTGCGGCAGGGCCGAGCACGATCTACACAACAGCAGCGTCTTCTTCATTGGCGTTTCCACGGCGGCTGCGCAACTCCGGCTAGTCCTCATTTTCTTTGTTGGTTCGCTACAGCGTCACCTCTGCCTTCCCTTCTCATGCTCGTAAAACCAATTAGTTTCGCACATCTTCTGATAACTGCACAACTTGAAGTTGCCTCTTAACAACCTCAGGTGTCCTGGGCAAAGTTAGTTCTTATTTATGAATTACCGATAACCTCGAAAACTACTCACTTTTAAAGCGAGTAGTGTCATGGATTTAAACGAAAAACACGCCATTTCCCAATATACAATGCCACCTTAAATGTGATTTGGATGTGCTGAAACTTGCTCGTCGAAACTTTTCGGTGACCCACTGCCACTTGTGGCTATGCGGTGCAGTGTAAACGTCATCACACCCTTCACCATTGGCTTCACATCCTGTCTGCAGGTCTTCGTGATCCCGATTGGTATCTCCTTTCATCCGAATTCTTTCAGCCGCTCCTCCCTGTCATTGACTGTGTTGACAATTTGCACTGGCCAGCAGGCAACCTTCTTATGGCTGGAAATTATACCATTTGGAGCTTGGAACGATTCTTTTGTCGAACACATTTTCACGGGCGTCGCGAGGCCTAAGTTACCGGCCTCTTGTGTGCCACAGATTTCGCCGAGTCAACATTCGAATGAGGCCTGTGAGTAAACAGAAAAAAACTAGCAGATCGCCTCCAAACTGGAGCATAGGTCGACATTCACCAGCATTACACGATTTATACAATTTAGCCCAAGCAGTTTGGTCAAGCATGATGGCGACTATTTTTTTCCGAGTACTGCTAACAAGTGCTGGCTCAAAAGGCATGCATTTATTTTGAAAGTACCGAGAAACGCTCTGATAAATTCCGATCTGTCGAACGCATTTTGTAGCATAATCTGAGATTGAATAGTTCGAGTAGTTGTTGCGTGGTCGATTTAGGCCAGGGCGACGAGCTTAGGCGTACAGCGTTGACTCATTGTCGTTAAAGTTTCTATAATTCCAGTTTTACGGGACAGTCTGCATGTGATCCGGTAGCCAAGATGACAGTCGGATTAGCAAGAATGGTTGATAAACTGGGTCTGGTAGTAGTTAGGACAGAGAATAGCAAAACTGTACAGACAGGGGAGAAGCATAATAGCCCGAGCAGAGCTTCCGGGGGGTATGGAGGATATGGTTTTTAAAATAGCTCTTGAGTGGCCTTATCCTTCACCACCGACGCAGGAAAGTAGGCGACAAAGATGGAGGTTCCACCGCTCCGAAGGTGAAACCTTTTCTGACGGGCAACTCGTCAAGTCTGGTCGACGGGCAAGGCTTAATGATGTCTGGCAAAGTAGACGGAATGTGTTGATGCAGAGCTTCATGATGCACCGTTCTCTAATCCGAAGAGTCCATTTCAGATGTAGGAGCGATGAACCGTCTTTCAATTAGTTTAAGCCAAAAACTAATCCAAGAAGGGTATTTGGTGGATATGGTTGGAGATCGGTTGCTCG